GCTGAAACAGCTGGAGGGACGGGGTCCCACGAGCCCAGGGCTCCTCTGGCTGCGGCTCAGGCTCCTCAGGGCTGGCAGCACTGCCCAAGGCGAAAAAGTGCTGCAGGAACTCTCTGGGGTCCTCCAGCCACAGGTGGGTTTGCTCCTCGAAGCCGGCAGTGTACTCCTTGCCTTCCTTCATGGCACTGACCACCAGTGACACCACCTCCTCCCGCATCCTGCTGAGATCCGCCTGCTCCTCCAGGGTGGTCTGAAGGGATGGGCAGAGCTCTCGGGGACCGGCTGGGGGGATCGGGCATCCTCACCCACCTCCAGCTGAGCTGGGAGGTGCTGCCCGCCAGGGACCAACCTTGTAGCTCAGTTTCCCTTCCAGCAGCCGAGGCACGCACGCCACGGAGGCGTAGGTGTCGCGGAGCAGGCTCTCCACCAGCTCCAAGAAGCTGTTGTCATCTCCCACCTCCAGGGAGGGACAGCACCGCACTCTGCCATCGCACCGCTCCATGTGCACCTCGAACAAGGGGGCTACGTTGGCCTGAAACAGGTCAGTGCCCTGCGTGACGCTTCACGTCCCGCATCCCACCTGGCCCCCAGCCCCATTGGTCCCCCTGTGGCAGGGACAAGGAGGGAGACTGGCATCTGCGGCGCTGGCTGCACCAGGGAGCACCAGGACGGGCACGTTTGGCCACTAAACAAACGCCTGAAGAAACTAAGAGTGAGCGCTGGGACATCCCAAGCACAGGCAAAGCAGGGGCACCGTGCCGCAAGGCAAACCTGGACGTACATCGGGGCCATGTTGGTGAGCAGCAGCTGCAGAGCTTTGTGGACAGGTCTGAAGAGTCCGTCCAGTACGATTCCATCTACGTATCCCACGTAGTCCAGCCATATCTGCGATGACTTGTCAGCCTTAAACAGATCTGCATTCTCCTGCAAGCAGGAAAAAACAACTAGTATTTGTCAATAAATACCCAGCAAGTGTACCAGCTCCTAACACTGCAAGAGTCCTCTCTCATGGCCCCTGGGCGTTTGTCCTGCCTGGCTGTCGCATGGATCCTGCATCCTTCCCTTTCTCCCAGCTGTACGACACCAGAAGCTGCGGCCAAGACCTCACTCGAGAGGGCAGCAGATTTCTGAAGTCTGTGTGCGGTGTTCAGTGGTCTTTCACTCAGCCAAGACCACAGGACTGCACCCCAGGTTTGAGCCCACCGCTCACAGGTGCAAAAGGGGGGACACCACTGGGTTCAGGGCATCGCAGCACACGAGCGCCGGGCACGCTCCTTGTTAAACCAACTCTGAGTGAAGCCTCCTGGGACGTGTCTCACCTCCACCATCTCCTGGATGGATAAAGATGGATAAAGATGCCTGCATCCCTAATGGCAGCACAGCGCTTGGTTAAGGTGTTTGCTTTCCTGTCCAGGTCCAAGAGCGCTGCCTCCTTCTTGTCTTTCCTTTCAAACAAGGGAGCGGCTGAGCACTCCTGCAGGGAGAAGACAACAGGGCTGCTCCGCTGTGCTGGGAAAGGGTAAACCCCTGCAGGAGGCTTCCCGGGAAGGCACTTGTAAAGCACCAGCCAGAACTACCTCCATCAGCTGGATGGTATTTTCCATGTTTAACTTTGCTTTCTGGACCCTGGTCTGCAAGTCGTACGAGATCTTTCTCATCTCTCGGATGTACTCCATGACGCCTGGGAGGAAAATGCACATCCAAGCTGGGCAGGTTACACAGACGCCTCCAAGACGATGATGCGGGCGGGCGAGCTGTGGTGCTGGCAGTGGGCCTGGAGGAGGCAGACAGTGCACAGTGCCCTGTCCACGTAGGGCGGCAGCTGCAGGAGCAGAGCCCCATCAGCACGGAGCTGTGGCCACACTAACGAGGGTCGGGCAGAGCCAAGGTGGATCCGCACCCTCACGCAGCCTCTGGGCCTCAGCACTGCCACCTCTACCCAGAGGAGGAAGCCAGGTGGTGCCTGGTTATTTTGCCATATATAACTTACCTGGGAGTAAGCCACTTGCTCCATCTCTTCCAGCAGGATCCGAAGTGGTTGCAGGTGGAGGCTGACGTCCTTGGCTTCCTCCAGGCCTGGACCAGGGGAGAAACTCCGGTCGGGGATGGGGACGTCTCACCAGAGGGGCGAGAGGCAGTTGCTCGCCACATCAGCACTGACGTCCCGAACATGGTCTGGAGTGCTGGCCAGTAGCAGCTGTTGGCCTTCTCCAGCATCTTGGCCAGCGCCTTCACTTGGGGTGAGAGCAGCTGGCAGGGGAGAGGTGGTGGGCTCAGCATCGGGGGCTCAGCACCAGGGACACATGGATGCGGGCCGCCCGAGAGCCAGCTGGTACCTGGTTGTTGATGCACTGCAGGCTGACCATCCTGGTGTGCCAGAACTCAAACTCGGTGCTGGGCAGGGGGTGCAGCCCCTCCAACAGCGGCTGTGCTGAGTCCTTGCTCAGGATATCGCCGATCTGGTGGGCCCACTTGACGACAATGGTCTCAATGGCGTGCAGCACTGGAATGTCCACGGGCCCCGCCAGGCTGCAAGGCAGCCAGGTTGTGCTCCGGCCCCGGGACTGGCCATGACCCACC